TCCTCAACTATTCAAGTGGCTCGCGCCGCGCCGCCGACCCCCACAGGGAGTGAGGCTTTGAGTCGATCGCGGAAGTTGCATCCTGTCGCGGGCCTAGAGGTTGCCACCAGCACCAGTTTCGGCGGCGTGCCTCCACCGAGGGAAGAAGATCCCGATCTCGGTGACGGTGGTAATATTATGGCGTCCAAGGTGGCCGAAATGTTACCACCAACACCGAAATCTAGGATCATCTTCTCCGTGTGGAGGCAACCCCTTGTTTTTGTGTTGGTGGCCATTTCCAGGCCTCCAATCTTGGGTCCGGAGCTTCCTGGACGAATATGAGGGTCTCTTGGGATACCTCTCTGGGGCCTCTTGAATACTCTTGGGGGCACCTGAGAGGCTTTTTGGGGGGCCTCGTGGGAGCCTCTCGGGGGCTTCTGGGGGGCTCGAGGGGCCATCTTGGTGGGGAAGGCTCGAAATGTCAGTTCGTATTCCCCCACTTAGTCTTTCTTAGAGCCCTCTTGGGGTCCTCCAGGGGATGTCTTGGGCCGTCTTGGGGGTCCCCTGGGGCTGTCTTTGGACCGTCATGGGGGCATTCTTGGAGGTATCATGGGCCGTCTTGGAACGATCTTGGGGGCCACTTGGGCCGTCGGGTTCACTGCCAAAACGTAACATGCGAACGTGCTAACAATATAGGTTTTCCGAAGTAAAGGGATGATTTTGGCATCTCAGGGCCCTCGCGGCGATCCTCTGGAGGCGCTTTTGGGCTGTCTTGAGGGCCTCGCGGGCCACCTTGAAGCCATCTTGGATCCTCGCGGGGCTACCCTGGGCCGTCATGACGCTCTCTTCGACTGTCTTGGCGCCATGTCTGGGCCCCGCTGGGCTGTCCTGGAGCCTCTGGGGCGGCTCCGGAGGCCCAGGCGGTGCGTTGACGAGCTCGTGCCCCCCCCCTCGACATGGCCTTCCAAGGCCCTCGCATCCTTCTCGTGCATCCTTTCTTCTACGGGTTGACTGAAGGTGCGGGCGGAGAAGAGTCGGGCCGGATCGTCGGGTCGGAGCAGACGGAGGGCCACGCATTGCTGGGGCGTTGCGGGGCCACGTGGTACTCGGGGCTTCGGCTCCGAGTACGGGTGTGTGTGTGTGTGCTTCGCATAGGGCGTGTGTTCCCGCATGGTTCTCCAGGTTGATAGAAGCAGCCCGAAGTTAAAATCGTGCCCGATGGGGTCGGAGCAGATGGATGATCGCGCCGCGTTTCCGATGCATCGGCGATGCGGCTCGATGCGGCGCCTGAAGTTCTCCACGCCTACGTCGCCGATGCACCCCCGACGTCGCCCGTGCATCGCCGATGCATCGGCGATGCATCGGCGATGCGGTGCGATCCTCCGACCCCGTCTACTCCGACCTCATCTTGGAGGTCTTTAGTTGTTGTCGTCATCGCCGTCGGTCGTCGGTCGTCGTCGTCGTCGGTCGTCGTCAGTCGTCGTCGGTCGTCGTCGTCGTCGTCGTCGTCGTCGTCGTCGTCGTCGTCATCGTCGTCTCATCGTCCGTCATCCAACTTCGTCGTCGGTCGTCGGTTGACGGTTGTCGTCGTCGTCGTTGTCGTCTCATCGTCCGTCATCTATCATCGTCGTCGTCTCATCATCCGTCGTCGTCTTCGCCGTCGTCGTCGCCGAAGTCAGGACAGTGGAACGCCCGAAGATGTCCCAGGCTTCGTATCGTTCCGCACGGGTTCCAGGAAGGGGGGCCGCCAGGTGCTCTGGAACTCCCGGGGCGCATCATGGGCCAATCGTACCGTGATGTCGTTCTCGTTTTATCCGCGCCCGCGCCCGCGCCGTCGTCCGTCGTCCGTCGTCCACCCCTCCGTCGTCGTCGGCGGCGTCGTCGTCGTCGTCCTCGCCGTCATCATCCGTCGCCCGTCGTCCCCATCAGATCCAAGCGACAGCAAAAAATTATTGACGGCCAGTTTGATGACATGTTCGGGTTCTTCGGGGCAATTTCAGGCCCAAGGACCGTCAAAAAACGATGCAGGATGAAAAGCTAGTCTTGGGGAATGGGTCGAGACCTCTGGGGGCGTTCCCTGGATTTCCTACGTTAAACGTGTTCAATCCTAATGTGTTTCTCGACTACGGATTTGGTTGCCAGTGTCGGGCCCTGGGGCCGTCGGTGATGGATCGGGGGCGAAAACTTGCCCCCAGGGGAAGGGGTCGGGAGGCTTGGTCCTGTCGGTGTCCACCCCGGGCCAAGGTTCGCACGGCTACATTGGGCGCTACGGCGACACCGTCTTCACACCCTCACACTTCGCCCCCCCGATCCAGCAGACACTGGTCGGGAGCGCCGCGCCCACCCCCCCAGCGCAGACACCCAGAGAGGAGGAGG